TAAGTGCGAGAACTTCAGAACGTAACATGAGACAGTCGTCTGCCGCACTACTTAACACATCACCAAACAGGATTACAGCTTCTGAAAGTAACATGATAAAGACGTCTGCCGCACTACCAAACAACAGGTCACCAAACAGGATTACAGCTTCTGAAAGTAACATGATAAAGACGTCTGCCGCACTAATAAACAACAGGTCACCAAACAGGATTACAGCTTCTGAAAGTAACATGATAAAGACGTCTGCCGCACTACCAAACAACAGGTCACCAAACAGGATTACAGCTTCTGAAAGTAACATGATAAAGACGTCTGCCGCACTAATAAACAACAGGTCACCAACAGGATTACAGCTTCTGAAAGTAGCATGATAAAGACGTCTGCCGCACTACCAAACAACAGGTCACCAAACAGGATTACAGCTTCTGAAAGTAACATGATAAAGACGTCTGCCGCACTACCAAACAACAGGTCACCAAACAGGATTACAGCTTCTGAAAGTAACATGATAAAGACGTCTGCCACACTGCCAAACAACATGTCACTAAACAGAATTACAGCTTCAGGAACTAATTTTATCCAAAAATCTGCTGTCAGCGATACCAAAAGCGTCCACAATTAAAAAATCGAAATTTCGAAGAACCCTGTCAAGTGGAGAAGCACTGACCAGAAGACTTGGCGTGGCTGAAAATAAACGATATCGACATGGGGAAAAGAAAGGACACGGATATGAAAAATAATTCTATAAACTTCACAAATACTTAACATACAGAAAGCATGCCTTAAACTGGGATAGTTAGACTTTGTTGTATAGCTAGTATATATATAAAGTGAATTTCGCGATATGATGTTTTTGCTTCGATATAGGACTAAACATTTGGGTCAATGCTAGGCTTCGATAAAAATGTGATTTAAAGTGGCAAAATACGCTGTTTTCGAAGTATTTCGAAATGTATTTCAAAATATAACGATATATAAAAAAATAGAGAAATAATAGAACTTTCTTTGTAGTTCTTACACTTTACTTGTATGTAATAGTAATTGCACTGAGTGGAGTTCAATTTGGTGGGAAATCCCACGCCTGTTTACAAAATCACACGACCGCGAAGCGGAAGTGCGACTTCACAAGTTTGATTTCACACCAAAATTGCACGACACGAATTACGATTTTCAATTTATTATATTCACTATGAAATCAGGCAAAAAATGTAACAATTTCAAAAGGCTGAGAGAACCGGAAATTGTGAATACATCTACACTTCGCTTTCAACGTCATTATATTGTTATAGTTTCTTATCCATTTTGCCGATCATTTGTACTATCAATGTCAAATTCAATATCGCACAATGGATATTCCGTACTATATGCAAATTTGCAGCTTAAGAAATATAATTTTCAATGCTAACTTTCAGAAAGTAAGTAATTTTCATCTACTTTTGCGTGAAAAAAACTTTGCAGGCCATTTATAAGGTGGTCCATGCACTACAAAAAAATCATGATTTATTCTGTTTTAAAAATTTTAAGGGATGAAAACTTGAATGTATCCCTAGCGATCCTGAATAATCATCGGGAAAACGAGTCCGTCCAAATATAATAAGTCGGTTGTTATAATTCGAATGCCAAGTTCGGCGGGAAAAGTCCTAGCTAGAGATTTGCCAGGCGGAAAACGGATTCTTATTATAAATATGAGAGCCCAACATATAACGTTTAAGAAAGCCATCAAAACAATTTAAAGTTTAAAAGTAAATATATTTGTAACCTAAGACATCTTCAGACAAGTGATATAAAATTACATGAGATTTGAATATATATATATATATATATATATATATATATATATATATATATATATATATATATATATATATAATCTATTTACATATGTAAATTAATGACGGATAGGAAGGTATAAGATAGTACATGACAAAACCGCACAGACGAAGGGACATAAACACAATACAAAAACTATGAAAACACGTTACAGAAGATTAAGTGGGATTGAACTGCCCTCACTTAACATCCAGGGCTATAAACGGCTGACCGCCATCACTTGTGCAAAAATACTAAAAAGCTATAGTCACCTGTGACTATCACTTCAGAGACGGCGAATCTTGATCCAATCAGAAATGCAAGACGCTGGTTGGTGACTATAGCATTTGGTTGTTGTTTCTCAAATAAGAAATTTGAAGTGATTATAGTTTTTTTATGAAATTATGTTGATTACTATTATTTGTAAACACATCGAAATTTGAACTAAAAACAATTAGTCCCATCAAACTCGACGATTACAAGTCTTCTATAATTTCCACAGTTTCCCAACAGAGATGGAAATTATAGACTCTTTTTCATAAACAAAGTAAGAGCCGTATGTAAAACAAATTAATACTGGTTTCCTAACACTAGTAGCAGTTTTCAGTATGTCACGTCCCATCCTCGTCCCCAGGTTCACGCAACCTCCTGGCTCCTTCCCAGGGCTTTTTACCTTGATTCTGGACGTCCGCGTCGCGGTAGATTTGGTGCATCTCAAACTTGCTATTAAACAGAAACACGGGACTTTTCCCGCCGAAATTGACAAGCGAAGTGATGTAATGAAAATTTGTAATTGAATCGAATTACGAACCTCGAAATTACGTGTTCTTCCAAATTCTCGTTCTTCCAAACTCACACGGACAACAAAAAGCTATAATCACCGACCAGTTACTGTCACTTCAGAGACAGTCAATCACTTGACCAATCAGAATGCAAGAAAATATAGTCACCTCGAAATTCACTAAAACTGTATAGAAACACAGAAAATGTTTTCTATTTCTTATAATAATAAATAATAAATAGCGTAATTTCTCTAATTGAATTAATTGTATAATCTTGATTAAACTAGCTTCTTAAGAAAGTGAGACCTTAGGGTGAGACGATTGATAGACACTACCTACGGGACGTTACTATATGGTGTCTATAATAAGGACTGAATTTATATAAAAGTATCAAATGCCGAGAATCCACTGTCAAACTAGGATCACTTTCGTCGTTCTGAACCTCAATTCACATGTATGCATACAGGCATTCTCATCAGTTAAAGAACATTAAAAAATCATATCAACTTTTAATAATTTAATAAAACTGAATTTAAAAAGCATTCAAACAAACTATAGCTATACATATGTGACCGTTGAACTTGCATATAAAATACATATTGGATGGTTAAATTTGATGTGTACATAATGGGTGGATTGAATACAGTGTTTTAAACGGAGAAGATGTTATGAATATTATGCTCTCTTGTGACACTCCCGTATATTTATCATGAAACACATGAAACACGTCAAATACAAAAAGTTAAATTTGCTTTGTTTTTGGCTGGCAAAATAATTAAATTTCACTAAATATACATTAATTATCAGTTTAGTATTTACGAATATTTAGGACAGAAAAGTTTATCCATGTGCTCTGTTTGATCCGGTACACTGAGGATAATTTTTCTGGAAACCAGCCTTAAAACAATTATTGGATTCAGCTTTGCATGATATCGAGAATCATTCAGACCTCGGTAAATGTTATCCGCCTCAGATAGCATTGATCTTGGTCTGAATGAATTCTTGGAATATCCGGAATTATTGAGCCTCATGATCAGCCTCATCCAACATACTGAATCGTTTATTTTTAATAATGACGTGTTTATTAATGACACCCCCTAAATTGAAGCTCGTTCGCCACGCCCCTGGTTAAACGTTTTCTGGAAATGTCAAAACAACTTAGTACTATGACTTATAATTAAGAATTGTAACGACCCCAAACGCGATATATATACCAATATATACTTAACGCAAGTCGTGTAAATTTAATCGACACAACAAAAGCTATAAGGAGATCGATATTATGGCGCGGAAGTCTTTAGCAGCCAAGGTAGGAATAAAGATTACGTTTACCCGAGCGTTGAATGTTTCTTTGACGTCGATATTTTTTGATACCGAGCCGACACCGAGCTTGCCATGCAATTATTTCGGTGGTAGCTACTGCCTGAGATGAACGGATATTTCCCCCTGCACGGAAATCTGTCTTCTCTGTGGTCAATATCAACACTATCAGTCTATCACATCGGTTTTAGGGACAGAAAAATCATGACGACTTGCGTAAGCAAAAGATGTTCGTTTCTCGTTCTTCTGTGTGTCAACACGGGCAAACAGACGAATTATCCCCATAGTCAGTCGCCTGATTTAGACGAATTCGAATGGGTAATTTGTCTTGATGCATCATCCGTCCCTAAGCATAAATACGGGGTTGGGAACGAACTACGAAAAATTCGTCATAAAGCGGCTCTTATTCCATTATAAAACGTGCACTCTTTCCAAAATTGCCCAATTCTCGTGCACCTTCTAAACCTAAACGCGCGATTCTGTGTGTCAGACAAATCATTCGTCCAGACAGTAATCCGTCTCTAGTATAAATCGTGCCAATCTCTTCACACTATACGGTGAAAACGCTACCATAAGGGAAACCTGCATAAGGAAACCCGCGAATGCCATAAATATACCGTGTGTATGCATACATGCATGTACATTTATGATTTGTTTGTTAAAACATAGTAACTCCTGTCACCAGAGATTGGGCCTGTATGCTTATGTTTTAGCTAAATTTAATATTTTTTCTTAGTAATACCATCATAGTTCTATTTGCTTAGCCTCTTAGGGTAAAACCTTAGACATACAGAGTAAAACCCAGTAAAACCAGGGATTTTCCCCGCCAAAAATTTTCGTTTTTCAAATCATACAACTTACATTAGAATGCCGGAAAAAAAAATTCGTTTCCAAATTTGTTTCCAAATATATGTTTTTCAATATTTTTTGAAATAATATTGCCGTCAAAAGCAAGAAAATGTCGAATAACGACAAAATGATCAGTCATTCAACTGTGCATATTTTCATAATCCAGAGAAAAATAAATTTTCTACGTGGAAGCATTGTTTTTAACACGTGGGATGATCAAGCTCTGCACGCGAAATAAGACCAAGACGAACATGTGCAACGGTCTCTTCTCTCCAAGCATCTTGCCTCGTGCGTGAAATAAATTAATCTACGATAATTTTGGACGGTGTTTTACTTTACGAGTATTATCTCAGTTTTGATATTGCAGTTACAACGCAAGTGCGAGGCAAATATATTGTGACCCGCATATTACGATAATTGGAGGTATTGGTATTGTCAAAATAATAAACAGACATCAACCATCGAGTTCAAACCAAGCAGTGTTCATTTACACGTGCATTTAATACTCTGTCCCACTGTCGTCTGGGGAAATATCATCTTCAGCAATTATCTGTATTCTAATATAACAATGAGTGGTCTCAGTACGTACGAAAAGCAACGATTGAAAAACATTGAATACAATAAAAGCGTCTTGCGAAGTCTTGAAATACCTGGTTTGGTGAGTACTCAAGCACTTGCACATCTGTTTCAAACTATTGGTTAACATATAAAAAATTCTGAATGTAAAATGGCTTTTGGATATAAAATCTTCGTATGGGATGTAGAGGGGCTGGCAACTATCCAAATTTTCAACAATCGAGGTATTCAGTTAATTAGTCATAGATATTTTTAGCCATATATACATAGAAACAAGTCATTTAAAGTTTGGGACACCTGTGAGTGAAATTCAATGGGGATGCAGTCATTTCTGTTTGTGGGATATATACATTTGTTTTTAATAGCTATATTGGGTGTGGGTTTGGTTGACATATGGGTACCTATATATCTACTGTATCCTGGTAGAATACCTATTAAGTAAGTATTTAAAGGAGGCTGTTTCAAATTCCTGACATGGGTACAAATCTTGAAGATTTTTTACAGTTAATTTGGTGAATAGTTAAGTTACGTACACCAGTCATTGATGTTTAATGAAAATTGCTGAAAGGCCATATCAATGCTTACCTGTGAAGATATTCAGTAAATTGGAGGCGCTGTAGTTTTCAATAAAAATACTTAGGTCTCAAAAAAGCAGGCATTTGCCTCATCGAGAACCATCCTTATGTACTGGTTGAAACATGTTGAGTTTGTCAAGCTTTCGTCCTAGAAGTTAAACTTGAATCCAAACCAATATTGTGTAAAAAGCATACACAGAACCTAATCACTTTAGCCCTACTCAGGGTTACCATTAAGATACACAAAAAATAGAATTTATGGCAAAGCCTCTATTACTGGTGTGCCATATAGCAAAAGAAACTGTTGCATCCCTTGCCCCTTATATTGCTGGGCAAACAGGCTAGTCGAGGTGTAAGTTCTCCCAGTGAAATATTGAAAAATAATATTTAGAGAAATGCTTTCATCATGACTACTTTTAACTTCGATTTTTCTTCAAATGCACAAGTTTTTCAAAGAGACGAACAACTAATATCATACAATATTATTTTAACAAGAGAGAAATCGTAAAGTAGGGGATGTCTGAATCCATACAAGTGTTTTATGTGCCCATGAAATTGACTTATAATATGAATTAATCATAATAATTTATGTTGTTTTTCTTGTTGTCTTTTGTATTTTCTTGTTAAACACCACCACCATAATTTATTAGTTGTGATACTCATTACTTGCATTGACTGTCGTACTGAATGTCTGTCATGACACTTTTTCATGTCTCATCACACTTCAATTGTGGTTCAATCCCTTCATTTTTGGTTCGAAATTAGGTAGAGCCTAGAGGCATGGCCAAAAAGGGGGCAGTTGCCCCCAATCATTTGAGAAATCATGTTTTGAAAATATTAAATTCCAGGTGAAATAGGTGACATATTCTAATTAAATTTTTATTTGGTAATCTGTTTGTGACAATAGCTATTAGAATGAAAGATGAGTTATACCTTCAAATCTCGAAGTTAAGGTGTCGACCAGTTCAAAAGCTGGATAGCATTTTGTTTTGTATAGCCTGGATTAAACCTTAGTGTTCTTAGATTACGCGTTCTCTCTAATAACTGTTGCCTACAAATCTGTAATATTTTATTATTTCAGGCATGTTTACAATGGTTGAAGAAATCGCCGCACAACCACCGCCCACAGGTGCTTTGATACCTGTACAAAACGCTACAATTCGGCATTTCTTCTAATCCGCAGTTTCAATAAGAAATTTTAGAGGCTTCTAAATGCGACTGCCAAAAGTAAAACCAGATGTTCTTTTAAAATACTAAATAATCCTAAAACTTTTTATCCAAGGGCATTTATGATGAGAGTTAATATGCAGGATATTAGGATAATTCGTAGTACTTAACCTGAGGCGGGGTTTTTTTCACATTTTAAGCATTTTCTAAAACACATTTTAGGGATAATTTATTCAAAGAAGCTGCCACGATTCTCCTATTTTATTTTGAAACACTTTTTTGTATCAATTAGATTACAATTTTTTAGATTTCTTAAATTATGAAAACCATTTGATAATTCAATCATAAGAGCCAAGCCCGAATATGTTATATTTATATCAAGTGTTACAGCTAGAAGTATTATCATTTAGAAATCGAGAGCGAGTAATATCCGATTGCTCTGGTATAAGAACTACGAGGAAAGCAAAACATGCAGTTAAAAACATTGGTATCGAAGCATGATTGGTTGTTGCGTAGTATATTTGAGACTTTCAAAAGGAAACGGTGCTATTTGTAATTTTGTATATATTTCGCAGGCATGTTTCGGAATGTTCAACTTATTTGGTTGCAGACGTGTATGTAAAGTCCCGTTCACACGATCCAATTTTCTCGGATCCAATTTACTTCTGACGTATAGAATGTAGTTTGTTATTGGTAAACAGTACTGCATTGGCTTTAGTTAATTTGCAACCCATACACTTTGCAAGTCAACGGACTATAAAACATCCATTAGAAGTGAATTGGATCGGACAAAATTGGATCGTGTGAACAAGCCTTAACACTTCAAAGAGTCTAATTATATTTTGCGCAAATATAACAACTCCTTTCTTTATTCTACATGTAACCAGCATTGCAATAAAAAATCGCTGTAAGAAACTTTGAACACATGAAACATGTGGGCTGTCGATCGAGAACCTCTTTTCTATTTTTGTCTTACGTTGTCTCCAGTAATTAAGTACACATGCAACTAACTTGAAATTTATCAACCCCAACAGATTGGCAGTCCAGTGCCACCGAGACGTGTTGTTGCTAAAAAGCCCCGTGGGATCAAAAGAAAAAGAAATAATGACAAGAACAACAACAACAACAATGAAAACACAAAAAGCCTGTCAAATCTTACGATAGACCGAAAGTTTAATGGCTACATGACAAGGTCAAAGAGATCACGTCTAGCTGACATAGAGGTAAAGGAAAATAGATTGCGTCATGTTTGACGAACTACCTGAAAAATGTACAAATGTACAGTAGATAAGAGGGGGCAGGGGAGCAAAATACCCGCGCTCTCAGAAAGGGCCCGAGCTTTAGAAATATGAGAAGCGTCTTTATTCACAAGGATTAGCAACGTTATCACGAAAAAATTAGAAAAGCGCAAGAACTGCATGATTTCGTGGTATATAAAAAACGTGATATCTTGCTGGAGGGGACAACCCTGACTGGCTCTCGCGCTCGCCTGCCTTTGCAGTATAAAAGTTGAGAGGTTTTGCTGTTCTTGCCTGGGTTTATATATATAAATATATATATATATATATATATATATATATATATATAAATATATATATATATATATATATATATATATATTATACAGGGTGTATCAAAAAAAGTTAGACAATTTTGAAAGTGCTCTCAATTCCACAAATCTGCTCATGAAACTTAATTTTTTATATGTATGGATGGTTTTAGTACTTGAAATATAAAAAATATAAAAAAAATCCAAAATAGTAAATTTTTCAAAGAAGGGGCAACCCCCCTGCTTGCTCAGCTAAACGTGGCTTGCGCACAGAATTGCTAAACGCTATTCTTTATTTGATTTTATGTATGAAAACGTCGACATTTGTTTCATTTATGATGAAATTTTGGCAAGATTTAAGCGAATGTAATCCTCCGAATAGTCTATTAAAACGTCGCATGTTTCTCCGCTGGTGCTCTTCCTGCTTTGTTATAAACGCATAAATTTACATAATTTGCATTGAATTAATAAATTGCATTGAATTAATTAGAGCATTTCAAGCAAAGAACATTTGAAATCTCACATGTACTGGTAGTTAAATTACACTTTTACATAAAAACAGTTATTTAACATCTGAATTGTAAAAACAGGTAAATTTTACAATTTAAAAGTAACGAATTGCTCTTAGTCTTCAACGTGTCCTCCATTTCTTTCTGTGCAAACTTGCGCACGTCTAACCATGTCAAAAACAGCACGGCGTATCATTTCTCGATCTTGTCTAATCACATCCATTTCTTCACGGATTCGTCGTTCAAGTTCGTCGAGATTTTCTGGTGGCGTTATGAAAACTTTGCTTTTCAGATAACCCCAAAGAAAAAAGTCAAGCGGATTAAGATCTGGTGATCTGGCAGGCCATTCCACGGGACGATTCAGTGCGATTATCCGATTTGCAAAAAGTTCGGTTAATCGAGCAGTTACCTCTCTTCTTCTGTGAGGAGGAGCACCGTCCTGTGCCCACCATACTCGTCGAAATGGGGCATTACGCCTGTTGCGATAACGGGGCAACCGCCGTAAGGCAGGGACAATTTCGTCATTGATTAAATCCAAGTAGTCCAACCCGTCAATGTTGTTTTGAAAGAAAAAGGGACCGATAACAGTTCCATTTCCCATCAATCCAACCCAAATCGTCAACTTATGTCGGTCGTCATTTCGCTGATACTCGAAATCTATCCGTTTTTCGCCTCGTGGTTGGTATTCTCGAATGTTGCGGGTGTTGACCGAAGCATTCAGTGCAAATCCTGATTCGTCGCCGATGAGCAAATCGTCAAGAAAACGGTCGTTCCGATCACGTAGCCATGCACTGGCAAAACTGTACTCGCCGCAGATTATCACCGGGAAGAAGTTGGTGGCGTTTAATCATTTGATAGGGATGGAATCTCAAATCTAAACGTGTTATGCGGTTGAAAGTTGCCGATGACAAACCAAGTCTGTTTCGACGACAGCTTAACCGCGGCCTTTCACCATTCAAAACCTCTCCATTGGCTTCTTCAATAACATTGCGTACAGCTTCAATGTTTTCAGCACTTCTCGCTGTTCTTAGACGACCTGAATTACCTCTGTTTAAGTTACGGCTCGTCCCGTTATTACGATATTTCTTAACATTGTAATAAATGATTGCACGTGAAGGCATTCGGACATCTGGATATTCGTTCCTGAAACTTTGGCGAACCAAGTTTATGTTGTTGCTACGGAGGAACTCTGACACCATAAAAGCTCTCTGCTGTGGCGTAAATTGTGGCATTGCCATTTCAAAATCTAGCTGGTGTTATACGAGAACATGCGTTTCAGAACAAACAACTCGAACAACAAATCCATAGAAATTCCACGGAAGTCCCATGGGAGTAAAACAAGTTGACAAAATGCAAATTTATGAATTCATAATAAACCAAGAACAGCACCAACGGAGAAATATGCGACGTTTTAATAGGCTATTTGGGGGATTTACATTCGGTTAAATCCCGCCAAAACTCTATCATAAATGAGACGAATGTCGAACATTTCATACATAAAATCAAATTAAAAATAACGTTTAGCATTTCTGTGCGCAAGCCACTTTGAGCTCAGCAAAAGTTTACAACTCCCCTGCTTTGAAAAATTTACCATTTTCGATTTTTTTTATATTTTCTATATCTCAAGTACTGAGACAAACCATACATATAAAAAAAATTTAATTTCATGAACAGATTTGTGGAATTGAGAGCACTTTCAAAATTGTCTAACTTTTTTTGATACACCCTGTATATATATATTAATAATATTATTATATAATATTATTATATATATATATATATATATATATTATATATATTATATATATTATATATATATATATATATATATATAAACGTTGCGTAATTATCATTGAGCAAACATGTCTAATAACCCCCCCGAAACGTTGCGTTTTAAACCTAAACAAACGCGAAATATTTTGCACGCTTCAAGTTTGAACGCAAATGGCAGTAATGCATGTCCTTGTTTGCACTGCTTGACTTTATTAGCACGGCAGAGCTCGTACTCCTACCGGTACAAATTTTTAGGCGTTAGTGCCAATGAATTGAGAGTAGTGTGTGTGAACTGGACTTACGTTCTTGTGAGTTTTCCCAGGCGTAATTAGGCTATGTGCATTTATGAACGTCGTTTTCGAGCGTTTTCAAAATCGTTTTTGTCTATTTTATTGTTTACACGTCTACCCTGTCCACACAATCGATGGAAAAATATGTTTAATATGTTAAATTAGCTTCTACTTCTATTTTAAATTGACGGTGTTTGAAACCGTTTTTGCATGAAATCGAATGTAAAAACACTCGAAAACGTTTACCGCGTGTACATCGCCTTAATCTTGATTCACAAAAGAGCTAATTTAGGAATATGAGGGTTGTTTACATGAGCCCGCGGTAATACCCGAGATTTGACGAAGCATGAGATGATTTTGAGGTATTGAAATAAGTCTTAGAAATAAAAAAAGCAAGTGCATTTTCGGGACGACCACACGTCTACTGCCAGAATTATTTTATATACTAATTTCACTACCTCATCATCATCATCAAGTCATCTCACGCTTCGTTTAATCTCAGTTGAAAGGGTCGTAAAAAACCCCCCGTACCATGCATGCATACAGCATTTAAATAGTGTCCTTTTTCTACAGGGAAACGCCTTTTCACAAAATATTGCAATGAGCGTGACCATGCATGCAGCTTTTTTGAGGAAAAAGGAAAATTATTATACATTTGATCACTTTTAGACGACGTAGAATCTCCAATGCTAGTACTAATTTATGATAAACGCTCTCCACGATATAGAATGGGAATATTGAAGACCTTGAAGACGGAACTTTAATCGAGAAAGATCGTATTTATGAGAAACCAAAACCCAGATATTCTGAGAATTGTTTTGGCCAAATACCAGGTATATCACATATACAGTAGTGTCTTTACCTTAGTTAAAGAACAAAATACCGAATTTTGTAATTGAAATACTTTCGTGCGGTTCGGATTTCGTTTGTGACTCATGAAAACTGAATTAGAAAACTGAAACTATTTTAACACGATAAAAAGATTTTAGAATCAACGGCGTCGAAAAATTGAAATTCAGTTTCAGTTCAGTTAGAATTGTTTCGGCTATTGAAATCGTATCTGTTTTAAATAATTTTTAATCTCGCTAAGCTTTCCTCGAAGTTCCACCCAGAAACTTCTTGAACATTTCTCTGTCTAGATATTCCTGTCGGTACTGTTTGGCATTCGCGCATGGATTGTTCGCGCTCTGGTGTTCATAGGTATGTAGTTTACAGGAAACTATATAAAACGTTCTCCAAAACCTCTTAATTCCTGTGTGTAGTACCCATTTCTAGCCGAGGCTTGACTAAAACCCATTTGCGTTGCCAAATTTATTCCAATATTCAGTGTTATTTTTCTCCCTTTGAAATATACGTATCTGCGTATCGTAGATTCAAAAACTAATTGTCGGATGGATCAACGTCGTTAATGACGAATATGGGAGTGCGATTAATGCCAACCAAGTGACGTGATCACAGGCTCAGGCTTTTCTATATTTCTCACCCTTTTGTTACTTAAACTAATTCATGCATATTTCCTTTAGGGCTTCTGTTGCTGGTATTCATGGTAACGAGCGGGAAGGGTGTTACTCGATTGCGCTTTCCGGGGGGTATGAGGACGACGTGGATTATGGCGAATGCTTCACGTACACTGGAGAAGGTGTGTTCAAATTATTCATGTGTACCGTACTAACCCTGGGGAGCGTACTACTGAAATTGGTTTCTGAACATTTTTTCCCTACCAAAATATTACTTCACGTCCGCGTCGTATAGTTTTTGGTGTGTCTTAAGGTCCCTAATAGCACCCTTATTCCTCTGTTACCATAAATGCATAAATTTTACTAACATGTGATCTCATGTAAAGACATCACGCATTTGAATTTACACCAAATTGTACTTCAACGATTTTTTCAATATAGTCAAAAATGTTTGTGATACTGTATTTAACAACACCATCAAAAGCTTAAATAACTTATTTTATATACTTTGATTATATTTTAAAGGAGGGAGAGACCTGAAAGGGACAAAAGCTAATCCGAAGGTACTGTATCTGATCGTAACGATAAAGAATCGAAAGGTCATCGAGCGTATTAAGGTGGTTTCCTAGAATTGTTGAAGTTCTCAAAATTATTATTTAGATTCGATTTTTGAAACGAGGTTTCTTGCTGCAAGAAAATTTTAACGTACGATCGATATTACGATATTAAAAATACGATCAATATTCTTTCAATAAAATAACAAAAATGAAAAATTCACATGCATGTAATGCACGCAGTAATCATAACGTTGCAATGTGACCGAAACTGTGGAAAACTTTAAAATGCACCATCACATGAAATTTTGCATGCAAAGTTTTGAACAAGATTTATCAAGAAATGATGAAATATTTGCGAACAATTTTCGATTCTTAGGATATTAATCAACGTATGACAAATTTTCAACCTGTTTACAAAATTGCATCAACAATTCTAGAAAGACACCTCTGAGTTGCTCACACTTGGCCTATATTATACACAAAAATCTTATGAACAATGGAATTCTGCGATTGCCGCCAGGATCTCCTGCGCTTGAGTTGCTTTTCTTTGCTTGAATTTTACGATTCCGGTACAAAACGTCAAATTCATTTAAATTACTTTACCACATATCATGTTGCAAATTTAATCGTTTTTCCGTTCGCAAATTACCCAAAGATGAAGGAATTTGACCTGACGTGCGAAATTTGTTTGAATAATTTGTGAACATACGAACTGAATACTTTTACTTTGGAATTTCACAACCTTACACGGAATGTAGCTGTAAAGCACCAAAAGCAATCTTCCAATCTTTAATAATGCATGCCATCTTGACTTCAAAATGCATATGAGTTGGCAAGTCGCCGTGGCAAGTCTCATGACAGTGCGGTGGTTCAGTTCAAACTCAGGCAAGATGGACTTTCACTCTGAAGTGCGTTTTATAGACATTTTGGACCTTCGACAATAGTCAACCTGGAGGCTTAAATAATCTCTGTTGGTTTCACAATAAAATCTATTTTATAAATTACATAACTATTATGATCATAATATATCGATCTCGGGAAGAAAACCTGAACTAAAATTACAAGTGATTTTTTAGAATTTGCGAACAGCGGAACAGTCAAAAAATCAGGTTTTAAAGAAAGGTAATTATTTTTCACACCTGCTATTTATATATTGGCCTATACGTGTATTTATTGTATGGCAAACTCTTGTTTTGTAAATTCCCAACGTTTCATTAGTCAATTTTGGGTCACGGAGCTGTCTTGGTGCCCTCGAGAATGTTTTGCGCGCATACGTAACGAAATTATTATCGCTCTAAATGAACGCGAAAAAAACAATGAAGATTATTCGTTCTAACGATACAGATACGAAGAAATTAGGATATTTTCGAACAGAAATCGGGTAGGAATGATTTTAGCTGAAATCATGCCAGCATTTCGAGTACAAATTGCTTGACTTACCACAAATTCTGTCCAGTCTGGGAAGGGGGCGGGTGGGGGCTGGTACCAAGATAGATATTTTCGAAGTATCAATTTTTAAACACTCTGTAAAGGTAATCGTGTACCCCTCGATTGCTGACTTGAAAATATATTTTTAGGTAACCTCGCGCTGAGCAGGAACACCACGAATGGTAGACCTGTGCGTGTTGTCAGAGGATTCAAACTGAACAGTCCTTACGCGCCTGATGAGGGATACCGTTATGATGGTAAGTGCACTTACAGCCCCAAACTTATTAGCGTGGCTGTGTGACACATTTAAGATTTTGGTCGGTAGGATATTAATATTTTATGGTCTGATAGCACCTGGGTATACCAGACTGTGAGAAAAGGTATTAAAAAAAATTTAAATTTTAAAAGCTCACTCACACTCATTAGAGCTTGATTTTCAAGATTTTATGTTAAATCTTTCTATTGATACGAAAGGACCTTAAATTCTTATTGATTAAGTAAACAGAATTTCTATGTTAGCTACACTCAATGAATATGCGAGTGAGTGAGCTTTTTGAGTGCAGGCGTTAGGTTGGATTTCCACTTGCAGAGAAATAGTTTACTAGCGAAATATATTTGCATATTTTCCTTCAATTTGAGCAGCATAAAATGCTTGTCATAGAATCCTTATCTATCCAACGAAAATTACCTAAAGGCTAAATCAATGATCACCCACAGTAGATCGTAGAACACCACTGATGAATTACGACATAATTATATAAAAATCAGTTATCAGAATTAATTGACTAGCAGGCGTGGCGTTTTACTAATGAAATTTGTTTTAAAGGTCTGTATACTGTAGAAAAATACTGGGAAGCTGTCGGATTACGCGGGTTCATGGTGTATAAATTTGCGTTCAAAAGATGTCCAGATCAAGCGCCACCACCTTGGCTTGCTGAATCACAGGTTAGTAACACTTTGTTTCCATGCTGAAGAGTGGTGAGTCATATATTTCCTTCTGCTCTAATTTCGGCCAAGGCTGAAGATTCTGCGAAACGTTTCAATCTAGGGTTTTCTGCAGCTCCATAAATTTGTGCAAAAAATCAAAATGGATTAAGGCTTACTTCGCATTTTCATACACACATGTACTCAAAAGTTCAATTCCGATAGTTTTAAATGATACTCTTATAATTCGCAAAAATCAGAATGAATAAATGTGTATAGTAAGTGTAGTGTTTGGTTTGTGAATGAACAAAACTTTAGATAATTATATACATTTAGTATTTTTTAAACTACTTTAGGTATATACATGCATACCCTTTATTATGTACAAGTGCGCGTATTTTCCGTATGTCACGTTTAGGAGTGACATAAAGGCCCTGTCACACTGTTGCGTATCGCATTAGCGTATGGCAGCGTATGATAAATATCACGCATACGCCGGAATACGCTGAAATATGCTGGTGGTACGTCGTGCGTAAGTTATACACGTCCCAAGCACGGTCACATACGCTGGTATACGCCGAGAAAGAAAATTTTTTTTAAGCATGCTTAAAAATCTTGTGCGTGTTTGGACGTATGGTTTATACGGTAAAGATAAGCTAGTCATACGCTGAATACGGCAGAAGGACGCTAAATGTACTGTACTAATAGGTTGAGTACGCTAATCATACGCAAATGAGTAAGTGTGCCGTACAACTAACGTGTTGATAGCGCATCAGTAACGAAGGTCTAACTTATGTGTGACGTATGTTTAACGTCTATAGAGGGCTTAGCGTATGACTGACGATTAAGTAACGCATTTACCGTACAATTAGCGTATAGTTAACGCCTGGTCGTCGTATCCTCAGCGTATTGCAAACGTTACGAGAAAGGGTATATAAATATTATAGCATGCCATTTATTGTGTAAAATATATATTTATGTTGGATGCCTTCATATCATCTTGTACCTTCGAGGATAAAGGTTGGAGTTAGCTGTTCTTGAATACCAGTTTGATCTCATAGCTTTGACGATTCGTCACATAGAAAATAACAGAAGGAAAAGGAGAAAAAAAAGAAAAAGACGTGAGGTATGGATGAGATCATGGATCGGAAGGCGAAGGCAGTTTGGCATTTACGACCAACTTCTGGTGGAACCCGAAGCGAGGATACGCGATGTTTCAAGAACTTTATGCGGATGGTCCCCGAGATGTTTGATGAGCTTTTGGCAAGAGTGAGTCCCAGGATCACCAAGAAACATACCTGGTATAGGCGACCCCTGGAGCCTGGGCTGAAGCTCTCTTTGACTTTGCGACACCTTGCCTCTGGAAGCACGTATTCAGCCATGAAGTACGGATGGAGGGTCCCCACAACACCCAGTCACTTATTGTCAGAGAGGTTTGCCAAGCCATCATCGACGAATACATGTCCGAAGTAATGACCTGCCCTACCACGCCAGAGGGATGGCGTGCCATATCTGATAAGTTCCTCAAGAGGTGGAACTTCCCCCATACATGTGGTGCTATAGATGGAAAGCACATTGCCTGCAAGTGTCCACCAAAAAGTGGATCCCAATATTTCAACTACAAGGGATTCTACTCTGTTGTACTCATGGGCCTTGTAGACGCAGATTATAAATTCATCTGGGCAGACTCGGTGGTAAAGGGTCATCATCGGACGCACAGATCTACAACAACTCTGAAATCAAAGAATTAACAGAAGACGGAACTATAGGATTCCCCGTCCCCAATGCTTTACCAAATGACTATCAGAGTGTCCCCTACTTCTTTGTAGGTGACGATGCCTTTGCCCTCCGAGAGACAATGATGAAGCCATACAGCCGCCGTGGTCTACACTATGAAGAGAGGATATTTAACTACAGGATTTCCCGAGCCAGAAGAGTAGTTGAAAACGCTTTCGGCATCCTGACGAATCGCTTCCAGGTTCTGTTAACTACAATGCAGCATCACCCTGATACAGTAAAGCTCATCGTTAAAGCTTGTATTGTTCTGCACAATCTCATGAGGATGCGCTATCCTGAATTACAGCATCTAGACCATGCAAAGAACATGAACAACCACTTCATTCCTGGATCATGGAGACAAGAGAGAAATTTGCTCGACACACATACATTTGTTGGGAGAAACACATCCACCAACAAAGGAAAGGGGCTAAGGAATCTGTTGAAACACTGGGTCAACTCAGAGGCAGGTGCAGTTCCATGGCAAGACAAATCAAATTATTGTAAACGAAACTAAACCACAACAAAACTTTTTGTAGATGTCGAAACACATGTTAATTATATAGTCACTCCAACATTAATACTGCAAGATTTTAGAATATATACAATGTTGTCCTTTAGACAAGGGTGTAAATGCAGTGTGTATTATGAATTTATGAGAAACAAAAAATGAGAATTTAATTTTTGACAATTCGATTATCGTGAGAGTTACTACAGTAACAAAATAGTCAATACTTCTTTCACGTTGGTGGTCGAAGGTTGAGAACCTCATCCTGAAATCCAATATCATCAGTAGATTCCATGATTTCTCGAAATCCTGAAAGACTAGTAATGTTCGGGTGAGCTTGGACTGTGCGGCGTTGGGCTAGACGTTTCCGTTATTAACTCTGTTGCAGAAGCCAAAGAGGCACGAACCGCGCCTTGCTGCAACGGTTGCTGAGCAAGTTGTTGGGAAGGAGGAATCATCTGCTGTTGTTTAGTGGTATTCTTGTGATGGTGTGGATGCTGAAATAACCGCTGGTGAAACTGCTGCATGTACTCCATGGGCTGAGAGCCTCTCACCAACGGTGCCAGAGGCATGTTTATAGGCATGTTGCCGGGTTTCTGATAATTCTCAGAGAAGAATGGTGCTGATGCTCTAAATGAACAGAAGGGAATTCTTGTAGTGGGGTGCAAATCATGGGGTGGTTGAGAAGGGATCCCTTGTTGGTTCACTTTGATAGATGGAGCCGCCATTGCACTTGGAAATTCATCATCGCTGTCCTCATCCATAGGTTCAGACAATAACTTATTGATGGAGGACCTTGCCTTCTTGTACTTGGACTTGGACATAGTCAAAAGGCTCTCTTTAACATAATTTGCAAAGACACTTCGTGCTGTAATGGGTTGTTGTTTGGCTTTGTAGATGTCTTTGAGGATGGTGCCAGACTCAGCAACTCTCTTCTGTAGAGTCTCAAGGACGTCACTCTCTGTGTCCTGAGGTCGCTTGTGGGACCTTCCAGCGGTAGATGATGGTATTGGAGTGAATTCATCTAAGACATCCTGCATATCAGCGCAGGCGCTCTCGGCAGCATTAAGATCTCCTCTGTGAAGCTGGATGGTTTCCTTCACCTAGAAAGACCAAAAATATAATGTGGAAATTGTCTCAAATTACTTGGTCATCATGTTGCTAAGGTAATATGGCTGTCTACTTACACTCTGCATGGGCTCCGGTCGGTGGCGGGTGACAGTCTTCAGGAAGGCAAACTTTGAGAGGATCCACTGTTCTCTCTCAGTCAGGTTTTGAGCACTATCCCCGCTTTTCTTCTTGTCAAGGCGCGTATAGGTGTCGCGCAACGATCTGAACCAGCCCTTGAGGATGTCAACAGTCTTGTTCATCTGATGTGCTTGCTCTTCCCAGATCTTCTCTTTCTTGTCTTTCCGCCTATAATCTGTCATCTTCACATTCCACAGCACAGGATTGCCCATGATAAACTCCAGCATCAGCTCCTCTTCTGTGGCGCTGAGGTTGTAGGGGTTTTTCTTCGCCCTCTTTCTCTTATTTTTCTCCTTGCTATCAGCCCGCCTGAAGGAGGTGAAGTCATCAATGCTTTCAGATGATAAAGCTGATGAATTATGGAAGTCTTAGGAAGGTTGTGTTGGAGATTTTGAGAACTCAGGAACATGTCGCGCATTATTCAAAGATGTCTCAGGAATAAGTGCATCTTCATCAGGTGGTTCAACTACATCTGCAGGTGCACAAACACGTTGTTCGTCAGCTTTGGCAACGGCTGATTATGGAGTCCTCTTTCCTTTTCTTCGTCCGCGGGTAGATGATGTCTTCTTATTTGCCATGGTGTCTTCTTCTTTTTTCACTGTAGGTTTGACATTTTCTCGAATGGAGCCGTGTGAAAATACTGCCGCTTATATACGATTAAAGTCTGTGAAACGCCAGTGGTATACTTGACATGCGCATTCCAAACGCTTCTCGTAAGCTATTCATACGCTGGCATACGCCAGCGACAGGCTACTCATACGATACTCATACGTTTAATAAGTTAATTTTATGCAAAATGTCCTATTTTTACGGACTTTTTCGTGCGTATAAAAATGAATGAAATGATATTTATACGCGACTCATACGTTCCTATCATACGCAACAGTGTGACAGGGCCTTAAGTTACTAATTTCGAAATTTTCCTGCCATTTTCATTGTTGTTCTGTGGAGATACAAATGGTGCTTGGTAACTTTGGTTCGTATACAAAACGAAAGTAACGTTGGAAATACAAGTTAAAACAGTTAGATAAGTAAAATTTATTCTACTTTAAAGTTTGAGCTATATAATTTGAAAAATGTTTGCTTTTATAATCATCTTTCGCGGAGTCTTACTTGTCGTCTTTGTGTGTATTTTTGTCACTCAGATTTTAGTCCATATAATGAACAGAACATTACATGGTTGGCTCGAAGATATAGAGATTACTTCATGGTTGGCGAGTGCGTACGATTTTTATGCACGAGTTGTGAAGGATCGCAAAACGAACGAGTGAGCGTAGCGAACGAGTGAGTTTGCGATCCTTTGCAACGAGTGCATAATAAAAATCGTACAAACGAGCCAACTATGAAGTAATTTGTTTATTAAATGTGTATAGAGATTAATTTGACAACGACACGCTTTTAATATACAAAAACACAGCGAGCAACAAAATCAAAACTTTATCCATCAAAACATATTTATTACCGTTCAGTTTCTTTGTAATTTTGTTCAATAGAAGTTAGATATTCTTTCCGAAAGATTCGAGAATGTGCTGAATGTAAAAATATCTTGAATATGAGAATTATGTTTTGAATCCCACTCCTATATTTCGACGCCATCTTGAAAGAAAATGTAAACAAATTGCCGCCAAAATGACATACGACAATTTTTCACGTGTGAAGAATATCGTACGTCCAATCAAAAGCCGTGTATGGCATTTTTTCACACGTGAAAAACATCGTACGTCCAATCAAATTGCATGAAATTAATTTACACAGTGAAATATCATTTTTATTTCATCATTCTGCTGTGCATAAATTTCTATACACATATAATAAATGGATTTTATGTTCTTGTGTCAAAAGCAATATTGTTTTTGCCACTCGAACATAAAATCCATATTTACTCACAACCGTGTAATATCCTATACATTACACATAAAGGCCAAAACTCGCTTGCCGCAAATCGCCAACGCGAAGTAATTTTTTATTTTTCTGTTGCAACCAAACTTGAAAAATGAAATTTTGGAAAAAGCCGACGAGCCCAAGCATTCTTCTGTTGGGAAATGGCATATAAAAACTGGAATTTATAACCACAAAAAAACGCCACTTCGGAACCAGTTTTAATGAATGGGTACTTTCACAAGCTATGTGCAAGGTTGCAAAACATATCACTCTTCGCCGTACGCGGAAGTTGGGTCAAGTTCCTCGCGTACAATACAATAATTAAAAGAATTTAAATGAACTTGTTTTGATCGCTATATCCCATCTCTTCGCAGGAATGCTCAACCGATGTCGATGAAATCCATTCAAATGAAGTTCCCGAATCAAGTACGTGATGAAACCATCAGATATAAAAAACGCTTTTGTTTTGCGAAGAAGAAAACTATTATTGGACTACTACAATTGAAGTTTACAAGAGAGAATAAGAAATCACATTCATTATCAACTGTTATATTATTTTAAATTGTTCATATTTTTTTAAAGTATACATCATAATGTATTGAAAAAGCTTTTTACATTTTGGGAAGTTGTTGTTCATGCAATATGTTATCTATATCTAAGAAATACATTTATGTGGAGGAGTCCTTCTTTGTGCGCGTTGTATTGCTTCTTTCACTTGTACTTGCATCGGATAATGACGGCATATTTTGAATATAAACGAAACATTATATACTTTTCTATCTTATAATCACAGAAACCTCGCACTAAAAGCCCCCACAGACCGGACGCGGTGCAGCAACGCGAGGCGAATTTTCAGTTTTTAGGAGCACATAAATTAATTTCTGGAAGCAAAAATTGGAATCTATGGACGCCAGAGTATTAAAAATGTATTATCGTTAAGTATATTAAGAATATAATGATAGAATTTATTTGCTTTTGGAAAATGAAAAACTTTGAAAAATCGCGCCGCGTTGCCAAATCGCGTCCGGTCTGTGCCGTGGGCTTTAAGGTCTGCGCGCTATATATTCCAACGAATTTATTATATTTGTGTGGTCGGATTATGACGGCATATTTTGAATATAAACGAAACGATGCTTTCTCTGTCTTTTCAAATTGGACGAAAACTCACACTATGGTTTGCGTGCTATATATTTCAACGAATTTATTTTACTTGTAGAGATTCGTTGCGTGGCAAACGCGGGAAATGTACTTCAGGATAACGAGCTGGCCATAATAATGTTTACGATCTATCGATCCTTCGAAAACGAGCGTAAATTCTAACAAAGCATGCAATCGATATATAAACGTAAGAATGCGCCAACAATTTCTATACGCTGGCTGGCTGAAATATCATTTGCCACTTATAATCGAATTCTGTTAAACCACGTCAATGTTGTATGGAAATCTTCGTCAGAATAACTTCACTCCAAAGAGTTTATAGATATGCGAACAAACTACGCCATAAGTAAATTGCAATCGAAATAGCAAACACTGGGATCAGGGTTGAATGAAATCTTTCAAAATTCAACTAGGAACTAGGTTAATTAAGTTAAACGAGATTGGCAACCAGAACACTGACATTCTTTCAGGCAGCATTTATACCCATGGGTAACCTAATGATAAAGGTCAATCCTCAAGCGCAGGTCAGCTTAGGTTGACTGTACCTCACAAGGGCGTAAATCTTAGGGGCACTTTTGGAGTAGGAGGGGACGAATATGTAATTGTCCCCCCCTCATTTTTATACCATAGTGTCTCATTTAAGTTATACTAATTCCGCCCGGAGATTAGGAATTACACCCGGGACCCGGGAGAACATAGCGGAATCCAAAGTTGCCAAAATGTCATGGACGTTCAATGGTCATGGTAGTTGTGCGCATGCGCCAAATTTAAACGAAGAAAGAACGGTCGTCTACGACTTGCTGATTGGCTAAGACAAAAAGAGAGCATGCATGATAGCGTCAGCATTTTAACCGTCATTTTTCGAACTATTTTTTAAAAATATAAAATGAAATCATGCAGTCAAATATTAAAACAATAATAAAAGATTGAAAGATCATCACAGCACAGAAACAGTTGGTGAAATAGGAACGACTCGAATAATCTTTGAAGTGGTAGGTGTCTATATTTTGCTTATTCAGTGTTTGCTGTAAGAATGCATTGTTTTTTTGACAAGTACGAGCTTGGTATGTCGTTTTTATACAAGGAGCTAACCGACCGTTTAAGGCTTTACATCATCGCTTAAACTTTAAAAAGAGTTCTCAAAAGTGTACTTCAGAGTTTTGATAAAACAAATATCACTTTGCAGCTTATATAGTCGCTAAAATCATTGAATTAAATAAATAATTGAAAAACAACATTCGACGTTTAGTGCTTGTATGGTTATTATAATTATTTGTGCTGTCTTGATGTTTTGAAGGTTTACCTATATACTCACTGAAACTGCAACGTAATGCAGTAGGCAAACAGGTGATTTCTGTTCACCTTTACGACTGTCTTTGTTTCCGAAAAATTTGCACGAGTTATTTCATAATATTAGCGTAGAAAGTTAGGTCTAGGTAGCGCACGAAATATTTTGCTTCGCTTAAAATGGCGAGGGGTTGCTGCATGCATGTATTTCTAGTATTAAATAAAGAAATCAAGAAATGGTCTTCACAAATGTGAACTCGAAAGTCCAAACTATTAACATTCGACAATTCCATAAAAAAGTTTGTTAACGGTGTACGCTTGTACCCGGCACCGTATGTCATAATTATACAATACAAGTATGAACAAGGAATACAACCTAAATGTTTTACGTGACAGTTCATCATATGCATTAACTAATTTATGCAAACTGAGGCGTCCCCTCCACTTTCCAAGATGGATTTACGAACCATTTCTAGAACCATTACGATATTGTATATATAGTCGTCGTGTACTTCTTTACTATTTCTGGGGATGGGTGGGTTTCCGGGTATTGGGGTTTTTTCTTTTTATTATTATATAGACTGTATATTATTTATTTAATTCTGCATGCTTGCTCCTCCCTCCTGTAAACCAGCACTCTATGTTGTGTGAGGTCATACCCGGAATCTTGTCTTTACCTGCCCGAAATCGTTTTTCCAAATTGATATGTCTGCTTATTTATGTATTCTACTGAAAGTTTTTCGGGAAGGTAGCTGATCAGATGGAGAATATAGAAGTGGATATGTGACGTTTATTAAAGTTTATATTTTTTAGTTAAATAAAGTACGCGGTTACTGCCGCTGGTTAGAGTTCTGCGGACGCTCGGAACAAAATAAGAAACGTTGCGAACACGTTTTGTCTTTGATCGAAAAATACAGCAAGTTTAAATTTGATTTAAGTCTTACAAGTTTCTACCTTATAGCTTAAGTTTATCGTCGATATCAGAAGTAAGTTATGTCATGATTATTTGCGCACCTTTTTCATACAATTTTAGTCGCAGTTTTTAGCTCTTATTTACATATTTCTTTGTATTATTCATAGTTTTTACCGCTCTGTTTACGTGACTGTACCTTTGTTGAATAAATCAATGTTAAAAATGGAGTGTTGTGCACAACTGAGTGGTTAAAACATGCGAACTTGACGCATCAGCAACCTCGTGATGTGTTGAGAACGCGACAGGATATATTAGCATGAATCTTTGTAAATAGTTTCTGCGATAATTAGTAATTACCAATATTATAAAAATGCAATAAAATACAAACTCTTGTCTATAAGTTGGGGTGTGTAAATGCGACTGTGCCCACGCGAATATTGCTAAAACAAAAACTGCTAGGCCAAATAAGAAAACTCGTAAAAACTCCGAAAAAACTCGACAAGAATAAAAAAAATACATTACAAAAATAATGAATGTGTTGCATATATTAAAAATTAATTAAATATGCGATAAAACGAGAAAAACTTACATAAAGGAAACTTTCGTATGGGGCACAGTTGAGATTCAATTAGATTAAATTTTTTGCGAGCTATGCAGCCTCGTACCCAGGCGCTTTAAATGTAAAATTTTGAAAGATTTACTGTACCTCTCAATTTGTAGAATTCACAAACCACAACAAACCACAATTTTTGATTTCATCTTCGTAAATTGTAGTGATTCATTTTTATGTTAATCAAGTATATTCAATTTAATGTATATACATCTAAGTACTGAGAAAGTTGACCGAATTGTGCCTTCTTTGTTTTTTCCTGCAGTTTCTTTCATAACTGCAAGCATGTATATACTGTCACCTGACCAAATTCTAAAAATCGCATTACTGTCGCGACTGATGATGATTTCAATGTCAAAATTTGAATTTTTCTTTAACATACTTTACCAGTGTACAACTTGTTGAAAAATTGATAGCGATTTATTATGCGTAATACTCTTTAATACAAAATTTATCAACTGGCTTTTACACTATTTTCAAACCAAACTTCACTTTACCCCTAAATTTTTTATGCACTTTATCAGCTGAATTTCTAGCTCCATATGCCTCCATAGATTGATGATGTATTCTGATTTTTATTATCATTCAGTAGAATAAAGTGGTACTGAAACTGAAATTTTCATATTTGTTTTTTAGCACGAACGGTCTCTTCACGTTTTACTGGTTATTTCGAGTACACTGAATACACTCAGTCGACGGAAACGAATTCAAAATTTCGCCCGAATGTGGCATTTTTATAGGGTTATGTAATAACCAAGGTTAACAGCGTAGAAACTGACTTAGTGACGTCGTGTCGTGACGAGGAAACCACGTGATCGAAGGGTATGGCCCAGTGGTAACTCATGTGACAGGGTATTAATTCACTACGAGCGAGCGATGAAGTCGACCGTAAGAGCTCACCAAAAGTGGTATCTCGGTCATAATTTAATTATTTTTTTGCTTTACGTTTGCTATTAGTTACATTACTTGTTACCTGATAACTCAACTACAAGAGAGACTCTACGGGCGTTTCATTGGAACCTGTTTTCCAATTGGTGGCCTCAAGTCGTTGGTGAATAAGATTCTACAAGAGTCCCGAGGCCTGTTGAACGGGTGCAGTGACTAGAGCAACTTGAAGTCGCGGCGCAAACATTTCGGAACACTCGTCCGTCGACAGAGGTAGGAAACAAGCCAAGTCAAGGTATTTTGAATGCCCCTTCATTCGTTCCGGCTAAGGAAACTTTACCCACACCGTGCTCCAACCCAACAACCAATCGAGTATAAAAATGATCAAGCAGTTAACCAACTTACTTGGCTCGGGGTTTAAGAAACAATTACTACTCCATTATTTTCAAATCAGCCAGGCAGAAGGAATGCTATGGAATTGAAATTCAACGACACATCATGATCAAGTTTCTAAAGGATGGTGTGCTACAAATTCCAATATTTATATAGTGATCAGCATAAAGGGATCGCAAAGTGGATTAGAACTTCCGAGAAGGAAGCCTACACTTTAATGATTTGTGGCATGTTTACAGAACTTTCCGTAAAATCCACTGTAAGACATGTCACAAACAAGTATGAAAACCCAGAAAAATTGTTTCCAAGATAAGCTCATGACGAGCTCGAAAATCGTTTTTGGCGTCAAGTTGGTACGTTGTAATTTTGTAACTTTTACAGCCTCGTAAAATATAAATCGCAAGATGGTCTACATTTTTGTACCTTTTATTCTTCCGATGAATTTGTACATTTTTCGAGCAGGAACAAAAGCCTTTTAACCATTTTCCTCTAAGAGAGAAAAGAGCGATGCTCATGCACAGATGTTGGAAGCTTGGAACTTGAAGCTTTTCATTCAACATTATGATGACTGGCATCCAAAAATGACCCACTTCTCATGGCTAAATTAGCACATATTGCAGGTAAATCAATTATTGGTTTCTTACTCTTCTTAATCTATCTGAACTATTTCACATGAATAAATTTTATGATGGAACTTATATTTATAGTGTAACTGGCTTTTCCTGATTTCGGCACACACTAGTAGTAGTACATTTTAATGAAAATCTGAACTACCAGCCACCCAGAAACAACCAACAATGAACATCGTGTTATAGTGCTATATGCCCAAAATTTTGGGGAAGAAGTTTTAAGACAGTTTCGGCAAACAGTGCTCAAAATCTGTGGTCGCGACGATTTCACTCAAATTTTTTTTCTTTAAAACTTTAAGGCCATTATAGATGACATTCAAATTAGTGCACAAGCGACAGCTATTTTGTCACTAAATTTCAAGAGTAAAAAATCTGAAATTTTGATATGAAACAGTTTTCAATTTTAAGCAAACATTTTCAAAATGTTTCTTGATGCTTCTAAAGTAGATAGTACAGTCCATAAAAATATTGATTAAAGGCTATTCTCCATTACCGTTCGCTTCACCCGCGCGGACGAAGCGGCCTTTGAAATTCTGTCCATGCGACCGTGACGGGGCTTAAAAACAAAGCTTCGTGACTGCAAGGAAAAATTGTAGTCACTCCCCCAGTGTTTATATCATTTATTTGATTCCACATTTCGTATTGTGTTTACTAAACGTTTTTTTGAAAAAATAGTTTGCAAAATGACGGTTAAATTGCTGACGTTTCTCATTGAAATACAAACATTTTGTCTTAGCCAATCAGCAAGTTGCTAATTACCAGTCTTTACTCCTTCAACTTTTGCGCGTGCGCACAAGTACGATGACCATTGAACATCCAACGCAGTGAACTGAAATAAGACTGGAACGCTAGCTCTGCGAAAATTTGAAGCCAAGATGGTGGAATATGAAACCTATCTTGTAGGTATGTTCCAGGCCTCCACGCGGAAATTTCATAGGTAAAATGGCGGCAATTATGATTAATTATCTTTGAAATTTCCGCTCCGGAGGCCTGGATCATACCTACAAGAAAGGCTTCATGCTCCGCCATATTGGCTTCGCTCATTAATGAGTCTTCCAGTCTTATTTGAGTTCACTGTGGTTCAACGTCCACGGTCCATGACATGTAGGGTGTCCTCCAACCAGCCAGTCCTCCAAAAACCCGACGGTCATTACACTTTTACTGAATACGTGTGTTGAAGCGTTTGAATTTTTAAAACATACTAAACCAGGAAAAAAGCTCAGCGACGGCAAAGAACGTACATTTGTCAACAAACTAGATATAATTATTTCTGGGACAGAAACAAAGTATAGGAATAGAAATTATTTAATTACAAACCAAACTAAAGCTTTTAATAAATCTTGTTAACGTTCATTGAACGAATCGTTTTGAGTTTATAAATTATAGTCAAAGATTTCAAATTCCACTTTCGTGATCAAAACTATCAAGCCTGGCTAATATAGACTCCCCACAGTTGATTTAATGATTGTTATACTTATAAAGCTTGCAATGTGTTCATTAATCAAACTAATGCGTATAAAATTACTTTAAAGTGAAAAAATTCCGTCAACATGTAGTTCATATATAGGATTCAAATAGCGATGCTGTTTGGAACACGGCCAGGTAAAAGCCATTCATACGGAGTTACCATGCCTTCGTTTCGTTTATTGATCTTCTCTGATGTAATCTTATCAAGCTCGCTCTTGAACTTTGCTAACGCTATTTGGGCCGAAGCGTCACCAAATAGATTATCAGCATAATCTCCAAGAAATTTCTAAATTATAGATGTATTAACTTTATTAATTTTGGGAATAGAGTAATACTAAGCGCCATCTAGATTTTGAATTTAGGTCGCTGTTTTCATAATCCCGTCCTTGTGGACAATATAAAAGACTCTATAATAATATAACCTATCCGATGCATGTCCCTTATTAGAATGAATGATATTCAAAATAACTATGAATTACGAAATAGGGAAACTGATTTGATTATCTCTAAACCTAAGAGCGAATATCTTAAAAAAACCTTTAAGTATAGAGGGGCTGTAACATGGAATTCGCTCTTTACAGATGCAAAGCTATCAACTACTTTAAGTGCTTTTAAAAGGCATCTTGAAGCCTAGTTTTACATGTTTCGCAGCATCAATAGACTAAAAAATAAACAAAATCGATAATTTAAATACCTCTGTGGGATAAATCGTAACCAAAGCATTGACAATTGAAACCATCGCTACAGCTTGATGTTTTTTTGACAGCGAGTCCATGACGGTCTGTTGGTTGGTCTCGCCTTTCTTTGTTGGTGGTGGTTGTCTCATCAAACTGGGAGAGTTGGGATGGTAACCATAGGTGGACATTTGAGAGAAGTTGACGGCTGCATGTTGACAAGAACACGTGAAGATCACAATTGTTAGAAAATGGATTAATTCATCACGTTTGTTGAAACATTCCGGCACTTTCTTATCCACGTTGTCACTTCCAGAACGGTATCCGTTTTCACGAAGATCACGAATCCAGTCTTCAATTTCGTTATCCTATAAATGGTGCAAACGCGAGGTTGAAGCCTACAATCAACTCTTCAATAAAAGAAATAGTAAAATTAACTGTATTATGAACAGTGGCGTAGCCAGCCTGACGATTTTGTCCCGCTATGTAAATTTCGTGATATTATAATTATTCATTTCTTTAGAAATTCATTGTTTTCAAAGTAAAAAAAAGTCATAAACACCAAAATATTAGCATAGCGGGACAAATCGTCGGGCTGGTACCGGTTACGCTACTGATTATGGACTCCTCCTAACTGTTATAGTATAATTCATAATTACGATCGTGTAAAATCTCGCTGGAACTAGGGATATTTGGCGAAACACTTTAGTTTTTATAGCTTGTCAAAGAGTGGTATTTTTTTCCTGTTTAAGCTCATGGATTATGGTCCGTAAAATTTAGAATAATTCTCCATGGTTTTGTTCCTGGAGATATACTGTAGTGAAGGAAATTTTTTCACGTGCCAGTAGGGTTTCATTAATCTAATAAAGAAGCCATTTTTCAGTGTAATAACAAATAGACGTTATATTAATCATATTAATTACCTTTTGAACAAATTTGTCATTTTTGTAGTAAATAACAATGATGTCTTCCACGAATTGGCGGATAGCTTTCCAAAGAAGCAAAGCATCATTTTTGTAGTGGAATTTTGGTAAATCTTTAACACCCCGCTCAGTAAGATTCTTAACCAGATCATAACTATCAAATGTAACGCTTCTGTAGTGCTTCTGCATCAAGGTAACGTGACCACCTCCACCAACACTAAGCACTTGATCAGCAACACCATCTTCAGGAATCAATTTCTTTCGTCCAAGTGCGTTGATGGCCAAAATTCCCTTTGTGTGAGGATACAGAAGCTTCCATACTGGGTGAACTGATGGAAGATTTCGCCAAGAAGACACAGCAGTTGGTTCCATCATTAAATGACAACGAAGAAGATGTGTTATCATCTAAAATTACAATTACATTTTAATAATCATCTCTAATATTTTATGGCCGTGTCACATTACATGAAAATGTTTATAGAATGGTGTTTCTTGGTGAGTTTTATATGGGGAGAATTTACGCAATACAAGCTCGTTGCATCGCGTAACCATATTTTAGATTTCATGCACATTGATAAAAGATGTTTTCAATAGAATCATTGTAATAATACGACGAGTCTGTTGATGAAGTCAAACCTGATGATATTGAGTATCTGCACATCGAAGCCATAGTTTCGCCGTAATCCAGTCCCATTCGGTGTCTTGCAAAGGTGTCCATATTGGAACATCTTTGCTAGGCTGTTGACCCAATTGAATAGCTATAGGTATCAAGTCATCGTTATTCTTCAAGTAGAACAGTCCCATTGCTGGTGTTATGTATCGTTTGTCTTTTGGCGTGTCCATTGTTGCCACTCCTTCAAGAATTTTGTAGTCAACGATGAAAATAAGGCCTTCCTGTGATGTAAAATAAAAGCTGTGGCTTATTCATATCCACTTTTTATAGCTTTTTTTAATTGTTAGCAATAACAACACGCGGTTTGCTCTCTCAGTTCTGTTTCTTGGGTATTATGGTAAAACACCATCACTCAAATGGGCTAAACAAACGGTTATATCAAGGCTAAGTTTTAGATCATATTGATAATTGGCACGTTACCTTGACGGCCTTATTCAAAGTATAACCCCTATCCAGTAGCTTGTCCACCATTTCATTCGTCACAGGGAAATTGTGTGGGACTTCTTCACATTTTCTGATCACTTCAGGGCTTGAGGCGTTAAGAAATTGTTTACCAAACCACACATCATCTCTCCAATACTCAGCAGCATCAGGAAGATCAGAATCGATGGCTTTAGTGATCAGGGTGCGAAAATCATCAAGATTATCCCAAGAGTCCCACAAACCCCAGAGATGACTCAATCCAAGGTTCTCGAACGCTTCCAAGCCAGCTGTTAAAAGAGATTGCGTGGCTTCATCGGTGAACTGCACGTCTTTTGGAAGTAAGCAGGGGTCATCGGCTTCTATGAACCCAGGAAGATCTTGAATATATCTTGAATCTGTTCCCCACTTATACAACTTTCTATTCTCACTCACTTCTTTCTTCCGTTGTTCATTAATTGGTCCTACATTGTCTTCAGAATTGGGAAGTATCGCTAAAAGTTACGAGAAGAACAAAATTAAATAAACACATTTATTATAATTATAGTCAAATTTTATTCTTTTCGTGATAGGTCGAATTGCCTCAGGTAATTTTTGGTACGTAAATCTGACCCGTTGTTTGAAGTCCTGACTTCAAAGGCGATGCTATAACACATTTTTAGACCGAAGTTCAGCTGAAAAAAGTATTATTGCACGCTGGACAGGTGGCATTTTTTTAGCGCTGACCGAAAATTGCGGGCTTATTTCTTCTTCAATTTGCATTTTCGCGTCGAAAAACTAAAAATACAGACTTTGGTGCAATATTTTGCTATTTACTCTAAAGCATGTTCATTAAAAATTCGCTACTGTTGTTGAGAAAGAAAAGCGGTTTACGATGAACTAAAATGCGTCGAAATCCGTTACGAAATGGAATGTATTTTGGCCGGCAAAAAATTAAATAATTGCATCTTTAATGCAAACTAAATACAGGATTATTGCCACAGCTACAGGGCTAGTTGAATTCAAGCTGATGTTAAAAGGTAAGTCGCATTTGTTCTTCATATAATAAAGCGTCAGTAAAATGTCTCAAAAGTGGTTCCAAAGCTCAATCTTGCGGATATGACACAGCTGTCAATATACCTCTATTAACGAATTTTATTGCAAATCGATCGACTCATCTTTATTGAAGTACAGCTCGAAAATTAAGGTATCCTCACATCCTGAAATTAGGCTTAAATCGAAGTTTTATCTATAGCCTTTTTATTAGAATTAAGATTTAACATGGGAAAAATGCGCCAAAGGGGTAAAATTGACATTGTATGTGTCCACTATTTTTGACATGTTTTGTTTGGTATTTTGAAAAGGTCACCTGGAAGGAAAATAAAGCTTGAACAATACTGGTGAGCCTTTAAATTATAAGAAGAGGTATGTAAATTATAGAATTTTGGAAAAAACCCGGTCCATTAGCAATGTTTTGGATTCTATATGAGGTCTGACATATACTGTAGCATATTTAAGGCCTGTGTTTTGTGTTATATCCACCTAGCCTTCGCCGACCTTGGTAGAGAACATAACCTCGGCCTCGATTATTCTGGATATCATGCTCAACCTCATTCAATAATTGTTTAATATGTATATCAGGCCCTGTTCATATGACCCCGCTTACCGGGACGTCTCGCTTACCTATGATCTCGTCGTGTGTTACTTTTACTAGTAAAACTTACAACGCGTTCATATGGGAAAACAAATTGTCCCGCTAGCCGGGATCTCGCCTTTGAGAGGCGAGATCATAGGTAGACGGGATAAATCGATTCCAATATGAACGCGCTATCCCGCTTGGCGGGATGAAATCTAAACACTATAAATACTCGATTTTAACGCTAATTTGCACGATTTTTAGCAAATTTTACGTTTGGGTTAGTACAAATTATCAAAAATATTGCTTAACTAATGTCCTACGATGCAAAACAATCATTAAAGGCAAAAAAAATCCCAAACAAACTTTTCTGTAGCTACATTTTATATATAATTATACTGTACCTTTCCCTTCATAAACTACCAACTGATCAATAACCCAGCGATAACAAGGGAATATGTACTTCTTGCTCCCTTCCTCTTTTTCAATAACAATCTTAGCCAGATACCAGTTACTACACTCGAAGCCAATGCTATTGTTATTCAACGAGACCATGACGATTTCACCAACGTCATCGCCGCATACCTCATAAGTATCAGTTTCACCTTTTTCAAAATCGTTATGAAAATATTTGTCCAAGCAGAATTTGGATGTTTCGGCTCCATCTTCACCTGAAAATATTTTAACTATGTTTTACAACCAATAACACTCGGGGCTCGTTTCAAGGGCAATATTGTTCTATACTTCGTTTAGCAATTGTTTTAATTCCATTGTACTCATTTGCTCTGTTGTCTCGCTTTGAATTGTCTCTTCCAGGGCTTCCACAACTTATTTGCATATGGCTGTTCTCATAGGAGGATAGCAGAGAAACAAATAACTTTTGAAAATAATGCACAATATATTCTATTAACACAGATCCCTCTCTCCCTCATGGTTGTCATTTGGAAGGAAATTTCCTTCAATTGTGGAGGCCCTAGGGGGTCTCTTCATAACAAAAAAACATTTCACCACATTTTCGGGAAGCTTATAGCTTATTATATTCATGCATGCCCGCAAATGAACTTTTAAAAAGTGAACATTATTTCCTCCCATAGCGCAGTGCTAACAATTACGAACATGGCTAATGATGGAAATTGCAGTCTATTATCTATAATTACCAATTAGTTTGATTGAGACACTTGCATCAGTTCCTGAACCAAGGAGATCCCCGGTTTCGACTGTAATCTTGTATTTCATTGTTGATGTACTACAAATATATTTTATTTAATATTATTTTATTATACGGATCTGATTGTAACAAAACAACCTCTTAGCTATTTTTAGGAATAAATGATTTTCGCCTAAATACGCATTTTACACTGTATACATCGAATATTAGAATCTCAAAGTGAAATGACTTTATCAAACATGGTAAAATTTTTTCGATAATTAGATAGTCGTGTTCTCCACTCCACTGGTTGTGTGTGCAACGTAAGGCCCTGCGGAGGTATTTCAGAGTTCAAGACATGGGTAAACACACTTTCAAGGTTTGGTTATCTTTTTACTGTCTGTTGATAGAGTTTGAGGGACTAATCTTGTCTGACGAGGCATTCTCCATCAGCCAGTCTCACAGGGAAGATTTCAGCCCCATGCACGTGTAGGAAAATCGCTTTTTAAACTGTGCAAGTTTGTTTTTTTAAGTCCCCCCACCCCCCCCCCTTCTTGCCGGCTTGAATCTCTCACCGCTCGCCGTGCACTTGACAATAAAGGGAAAGTTACGCTAGCTAAATATATAGTCCAAGTCGAATTCAGACTTCTAGTATTCCATCGTTCGAGAACATATCACGTGAGAGGGGCCATGCAAATTACTGAAATTAGACTGTCTTCCTCACTCTTCCTCGCAAAGTATGCAAAAAAGAAACTACAGGGATCCAAGGATAGCGCAAATCAAGTATCTGCATCCTCTGGATATCTAGTGCTGCATCTATCTATACATTGTCAAACCCATCATTTTAGAAATTGTTATGCTCATTTTGCACCCGATAGAAGTATTTTTCTTTACACTTCATCCATTATTAATCGACAGTTTTGTGCATGTACATATATAGATTTTCTTCAATTTAATCGTGAACAAAAAGATTCAAAGCCCACGAACCACTGCAATGTGTGGTGTTAATGCAGCAAAATATATTTCAGGGCATGCAAAGCACATACAATTGGGAAACTTCCTCTAAACTTTCTATGAAACTTTCTCTAGCCAAAATAATCAAAGGTTTTCTAGGCCTACCTTTTGATCCGTTTCTTTCAAGATGCTGTATGATTTCTGAGTATAAAAAACTGGTATGCAATGAATCAGCCGCAAAGACTTATCAGCACTGCACTAATTAGCATCGACTACAACCTCTATCATAATGCGATGGGTCTGGTATTACGCGCTTTTATATCCTGCCAGAGATCAATCTGTGCTTGGGCTTGCTTGGGCGAAATTTAGACTGCACCATTGATCTGGAGTTTATATTTGCATGGACTTCCGTTGCAAGCCCAGGCAACTATTTTTCAGGCTTTCCGCTCGTCAAAGATGATTGTGTGGGCGAATCAGTTTGTAAACAATTTTTAACAGTTTTTAGACTGCTTTAACAAGTTTTATGTCACTTGATGTTGTTTGCCTTAACGTGTCTTGTGCTAATCGTCATTGCCAAATTGCCATTGTGACCGAATATATGCTACAAGCATCTGCAAATTTGCCTTTAAAACTGATGTATTATTGGTGCATGCATGATAGCAGATTTTTGTCAATTTGCGAATCAATTGGAGACTGCTAAGATCGGTCTCCACTTGCACGTACTGTTGTCAGTGCGGCCGATTTTGGGCATGCTCCGTGACTCAAAACTTTCACTAAGCCGGCCATCGCGGCGAGTTTTTTGTGCGTATGACAGTAGAATTATATCAATGCGGCCGTTAACGCGCAAGCCCGGCGTACGTGCGATTTAAGCGCAGATGTGAGTGCAAGTGGAGACCGGCCTTGCATGCATTTTTGAATAAATGTTGTGCAAGCTATCGTAAAAATCATAAAACCTGGATAAAGGAGAAAGAATCCGATCTTAGTGAATATAAAAGAATTGCCAGAGTCGAGGTTATTCATCACACGGATTGCACTCAGTGATCAAGAATAGGTCTTAGCATGTTCATATCAAGTTTACAGCATCATACAGCATTTATTTATATATTCAAAAAAACTAATGCTTTTCCTGTCGAGCATACGTTTGAAAGGTTTCGGAAGAATGTGAAAATAGCAAGAAGTTTAATTCCTCAAATATTTATCATTTTAAAATTATAATTCAAACAGCATGGTCTGCTGGATAGGGACTAAGGAGTTTACTTCGTCTGTTATGATGTTTATATCTGAATTGACATCGTCAACCTGTCTTATGGAGTGCATATATATCGTCAAAATTTTCTGCATGCATTTCTTATTTTACTCCGCGTAAAAATATGTAAATAGAAAGCATCCTTATGTCTAAGTCAGGTATAACTATAAGGCAAACTGATCTGTCGAGTCGAGGTCATGTTTATATCAAGTTTACGGCATCATGCATAGAATACTCTGCAAAATCGTGTCGAGGCTTATATAAAAAACTAGTCTTTTACTCTAGATCTTCTACGCGCAAAATTGTTACTTTGCATTCCAGAATTTTTATATCCATTTTCAATTTTACTTAATTTTTCTTCATGAGCACCTATGCATGAGAATGATTCAGAGGAAAGTGAAAATGGCACCAGCGTTTATTAATCCCTAGCCTAAATCCTGCTTAATTATTATTTTTATATAGTACTCGCCTATTATCAGTTACGCTGTTTATGTATGAATTAATATAATTATGGTCAACATGTATTATGGAATGCATGTTTATCGTCAAAAATTAAAATTTATTTACAACTGACGTATTAGGTACTATTCTGGAGCCGGTTGTATAAAACTCATTAACTTTATTTTGAATAGTTAAATCCTAGGTAGCTCAGAAATACACGATTCTGATTGACCAATCTGTTCTTAACACTACAGTTAAAGGTTAACTAGTCTTTAATACAACTAGCCCTATAAACCTACAATTTAGGTTTGAAACTTACGAGTTACGAAACACGGGGCATGCGCGTGTAAAATCCAGGATGATTGAAATGATAAGTAATATAATCAGTATTTGCAAGTGGTGGAAAAAACAATTCAACCGTATATACGTAGTCGGTGATCCGTTGTCTACACATCTCAACATCGTTTGGTCTCATAAAGACGTATTTCAGTACCTCAAAATTCATCTCACGCTTCGCCGTGGATCTTCGGTTAACCGGGATGATATGAACAGCCCCTAAAGACCCACACAGACCGGACGTGATGCGGTAACGCGACGCGAATTTTTAAAGTTTTTTTTAATTTCTAAAAGCAAATAAATCTTAATCTATCAGAATATTTCTTTAGATTACTTAACGATAATGCATTTTGACTGCTTTGGTGGCCATAGATTTCACATTTAATTTTCACACACGCGAATTTAATTCATGCAGTGGCGTCGCCAGGGAGGGAAATGGGGGTAGTCGTTCGTTCGCGTCACTTTACCGTATCAATCGCATCTGGTCTGTGTGGGCTCTATGATTACTAAAGCGAACATAATACCTATACATATTACACAATAAACTGGGAGGTGCCAATCCATCGCCTTCAAATACTAATCTATTGCATGCCATTTGTTTAATGTAACTAGATACGAGAACGATATCAAGTAAAAGTTAATATAATATTTCTGAGAGTCGAGGTCATTAAAGTGACATACAGAATGTGTAAGTGAAGTATATAGGTTTTATCACGTTCACGACATCACTCTGCACTCTAAAATGAACAATAATAACTTCTCTTATGAAATGTGTCTCGACGCAAAATATTCCCATTGAAGCGTGAATTATTTCAAAAGTTTGTTTAGTATGCGTTTGAAACATCATGAATTAGCTCAGAATGAGGATATATAATATAATAGCAATATAAAAGCATTTGAAGATTAAATTAGGCCTCATGCAATAATTAAAGATTGAATTAAACTCAAGCACAGCCGCCGTAACAAGGTCCTCCGCTCACGATTTTGACTTAAAAACTGTACCCCCAAAATGGCGGCATATTCGTCATCGTGAGAAAGGCTAGTTCAGTAGTTGTTTGCCTTTAAACACAATTAGTTTCACACATTTCAACCATCAATAATAAACAATAAACAATCATATGAAACAATCGCTTAGTCATGCCAAATCAAACGTTTCAAGCTTGTTTTTGATCGATATGACACATATCTTACCTGCATTTACGTATTCTTTTGTTTTGTAAAGAACAATTATACCTGTCACTGTTTAGAAAACAAAGCATCAATTAAAGCGCTTCGGTCCGATGCGGTTCTGTATACATGTCCATTGCTAACTTCTAAGTTCCAAGTCTGAGGGCGACAAAATAATGCAAACTTCCTAATATTTAAAACGTAAACAATAGTCTGCCAGTAATAAGTATAATATATACCATCATAAAATGTGTATACGACCGAATTTCAAAACAAACAAAAATGATAAAACTTCAAAATACACGCTAGATAGGTTCGAAGATATGTTTGTGCAGTTCCCTACTGCGCAATTCCTTGTCAAGTTTCTTCGAATCTTCATCATTAATCACGATTACTTCAAATAGCATATTCTTCTGCAAGGATTTAATTAGACTTTACTGACAGACTTTTGCACTTGCATGTCTATTAGCTATATTTATATATCTGGATTGATATGGTCAATATCTCTTATGAAATGGTATGCTTATGGTCAAAAATTGCTCTTTATCATCGACGTATATTTTGTACCTATGCAGAATGTAAGTGATAGTGAGTCTCAAAAAGAAGTTAAGCTACATCAAGTCTAAAATACCATAAACCGTGGATTTAGGAAAAAGTTCCTAAAGCTCATAGCTTTTTATGGATAATATGAAATTCATATGAAAACAAAATAGGTATTCGGCAAGTCCATAATGTTTCTACACAAAATGTTTATAGCTGCCATTATTTAAACTTATCTCATACTTTATACTAACGACATGTTTTCTCCTCTTTCACATAATATTAATATTTAACTAAATTGTCAACATGTCTTGTAATGAGAGCACATTAATTAAGTCATTTTGACTGTTATTCCCTGGATGTCTGAGAAACTGGTCAACTGGACGTCACACGGTCCCAATAATTATATGCATGTCACTGCTGCGACCCTACTTACAAACGTGATACTCACGTTTTCCTTCGCAGCACCAGTAAATATCCAGAGTATATCAGGTTTAACCGGTGGCGGATTCAGGGTTAGGCAGAAAAAACTACCACAGCTCAAAATCGTAATCCTATTGGTATAGATTTTTATTTTAAAATATTCTTTAAATATCCACGACCAATTACGTTGTTATTAAACTCTCATGCATCTTGTGAATGACTAAATATGAATCGTATGCATTAAATATGTACTTCCATTGACAATTAAGCTATTTACATCGAAATATTTTAGCTCAGTTGTTAAATAAATAAATAGTTTTGCTTTCCATTTTGAACTTATCAACCGTTTTACTTTGGCTTATCCACCGCGTTTAAGCTAAACGCCTTTCGAACAACCGGCCCAAGATGTTTAAATTTATAAATAGAAATACATGCATGCAAAATCCCCTCGCCTGAAGGCTGAAGCGATTACTGATATATTTTTCCACTGTTTATGTTTGTTATATGACAAAATATACAAATCTTCGCATTTAAACTGTATTTTTTCGTTTTTTTAAAGCTTGGAAACTAAGGGGTGTTTGTGATAATGCTGACCCCGGCTTCTGCAATGTTGCCCACAAAGACTTGTCGCGAGATTTTTAAATTATTTCGAATCTTTCGCACTTAAATTTCACTCCCAATGATTGAGGGGCAGTTTTTTTCTTTCAAGTGGGACAAATGCTTTTGATATATACTTCTCCGTTATATTTTCGTAGTTTCAAGAATCCATTTTATAATTATCACACATGGAATTTTTCAACATTTACAATGGAAAGGAAAAGAACCCGCTGGGGAAGGTGGGAAGCAAAAAATATAGAAAGAAAGCCTCTATGCCTTGTCTGAAGTGGCATTTATCGGGCAGAAAAGCGGCAAGATCGACATTGCCATGGTGACATAAATGTGATGTAAATGGGCACAAATTTGCGGAAAAAAATTAATATTACATGGCACCACTCCAAAACCCATAGAAAATTGGTTGAATATCTCTTTAGTTAACCAGAATTGTGTTAAATCGGAATCATATTTGGATGATGCTTGCTAAACACGGGGAAAAACGATTATCAAATTGGCAAAATATAAATGCAATCATGTTCTGGCGAGGGGTAAGTGATATTAAATGTGTCATAATTATTAAAACAAAGCAATATTATTTCTTAGGACTTTTATTATAGTTATATATGGTAAAAGAAGCCATCGTTTTTTTTTATCATAATATTATGGCAAAAATTTTCAGAAAATAGGAAAAATTAGACTTTGTCAGGTGAATCTGTAATTTGACCTGGGATGTTGCAAATTCACTTTCCTGTAATTTATGAAACGTAGGCTAATTTCACCCTGAAGTGCCAACCTCTAAAAGCAACAATTATGAAACATATATAAACAATTCAGAAAGGCCCTAGCTTTAATTAATGGCTCGGGATTGAAAGCTGCG